TTGTACATTTAAAATTACATTCCACTATCATAATTCAAATAATTTTTAATTTACTAAACTAACTTTTAAAAAATATATTTAAATATAAATTTTATTATAACAACTGACTTTTATTAAATTGACTTTTGCTAAATAAATTTTTAACAAACCAAAAGCCAAACACATGTTAAAAGTTTTATTGACCTACTAAACATATATTTAATAACAATATTCAACTAAATGGGAAAAGAATGAACATGTTAGATGTTGTTATCAAGGTCTTAAAAATCAAACCCATCATTAAATCAGACAATAATTGTACCGATTAAATTTATTTAATATTTTTAAATAACACTTATATATAAACCATAAAATATATTCATTTATAATCTTAAAAATAATATTTAAATTTAAATAAAATATTTATCAAAGAATAAAGAAAATTTATAAGGGATAAAACTTATATACACTGTCTTCTCATATATTTAACATATTTTTATTTATGACAAATAAATTTTCATGTATTAATAATATTAATAAAAATAGTTTTCTGTAGAATAAATAATTTTTAAAAAATTCACATGCCAACTTAAGTATATAGGTTAAGTATATAACTTTTTATCATTATTTATGAATTTTTTTATTTTATTATAACTACAAGTGTGATAATTAAGTAGATTTTATTTCATTCTCTCCATTTTTTAATAAGCATGAATAATATTAATTAATAAGGTTGTTTTTTTAAAAAGTAACATTTAATTATGTTAATGTAAATTTTTTATCTAGACTTTTGCAATGGCCAACAAATAAATAAATGTTTTAATATCTCATTTTGGCCGAGACCAAACTCCCTCCGGTTTTATCTTCCCGCCTACTGCTTCTGTCTTTAATTATATTAATAGAAATAATAATACAATATGATATAATAAAAAAATGAAAAATAATTCAACTGATACTCTCACGTGGGAAGAGGAAAGTCGAATAAGCAGCAATGACAAAAAAAACCCCACTCCCGTCGTCTATTTCTTTCCTTCTCCTCTTTCTCTGTTGCCGCCCTGAGAGTGTTTGGAGAATGGAGAATGCTACAAATCGCCATTTATTCTATCTGAAAGCTTCAGTCTTTAGGGAGGATTGAGTAGTTTTGTTAAGACAAAAGCGCATTAAGGTAGTGATTTATTGAAAAATGCCTTCTTCTTTTTTTCTGTGAATCTTTTTCTTTCTCCCTGTCTTCATCTCCTCTCTGGTTCTTTCCATCACTTTTCTCCCTTTTTTTTCCCCGATCTGGTCACTCAAGCCGGTCAACACAACTTTTCATGATTTTTCCGGTTCTTTGAAGTTACACAACTTTCTCGACATGTGGAAAATGCCGTCGCTTCAGCTGGATTTATCCATCTTATCATCCACACGAGTTTTCTGCGGTTATAATGCACTTAGCATTGGCAACTTTAGTATATAAAGGGACCTTGAAAGAGCAAACACAAACCATGATAGACAAAGAAATTATGTCCATTTTTTCTAGTTTCATACTGCAATACAACACTTCCTGCGGCTTGCTGCATACATTCATTGTCATACCCACCTTCCTCGACCACATTCTACTATTCAAATGGTATTCCAATTCTGCAATCAGCAAAACCTCATTCCCATCTCCACCAAAATTCCCAGTCATAGGAAATCTCCATCAGCTGGGTTGGTATCCTCATCGTACACTCCACTCTCTGGCTCAGAAGTATGGCCCCCTGATGCTTCTTCATTTTGGGAAAAAACCAGTGCTCGTGGTCTCTCCTGCAGAAGCTGCTCGTGAGGTGATGAAAACACATGATCTCGTGTTTGCAAACAGGCCCAAAACTAAAATGTTCCGAATACTGTTTTTATGGCCAGAAGGACGTTATATCAGCTCCATATGGAGAATACTGGAGGCAGATAAAAAGCATATGCGCGTTGCATCTTCTTAGTAGCAAAAAGTTCAATCCCTTTGCGTGGGAGAGGAAACTGCCATAATGATGGAAAAGATCAAGCACGCTCGCTCTGCTAACATGTCAGTGAACTTGAGCGAGTTGTTTTCATCGATTACGAACGATGTGATTTGCAGGGTGGATCTGGGTAGGAAATATGAGGGGAAAGTGGAAAAAAAATTAAGGAGAATTGAGGAAGTTTACAGTTATTGGGTGCTGTTGTGGTAGGGGACTATATGCCTTGGTTAGACCGTTGTGAATGGCTTATATGGTAGAGCACACGCGGTGGCAAAAGAACTGGATCGATTTGTGGAACAAGTTATTGAGGAGCACTTGAATCGTCCAAAAGAAGCCGGTGATACAGCTGAAGGACATGGTGACTTTGTGGACCTTTTGCTTTCGATCCAAAGCACTACCTCGTTTCGCTTTCCCCTTGACAGAACCGTCATAAAGGCCTTGATTTTGGTATATATATATATATATATATCCTCCAACTTTAATTATAATATTATATATATGTGGGTGTCGTCCCTGACTGATCGCAAGTTACTCTCATGTGCATACATAACTCAAAGAAACTCAAATTGTATTAGTTCATATTGTTAATTTTACTCTTGAGATTTGACAACATCAGTGATTTTGATTCAATCCTGTATAGGACATGCATGCTGCGGGTACGGACACCACGGCCAGAGCCCTAGAATGGATGATGACAGAATTATTAAGGCACCCAAATGTGATGAAAAAAAATTGAAAGATGAGGCTAGAGAAGTGGGGAGAAGCAAATCACTGCACATGATAACAGAAGAGGATATAGGTAAGATGACGTACCTCAACGCCGTGTTTAAAGAAACGCTTCGCTTATACCCCCCGGCTCCTTTACTTGCACCTCACGAAAGCAAGCAAGATGCAGAAGTTGAGGGCCGTGATATTAAAGTCAGGACACAAGTTATTGTGAATGCCTGGGGAATAGCAAGAGATCCAGCGTGTCGGAGCAATCCTGAAGAATTCCAACCAGAGAGGTTCTTGAATAGTTCAGTAGATTATAAGGGCAATAATTTCCAGTTGGTCCCGTTTGGTGCAGGAAGAGGATGTCCAGCAACACAATTTGCAACTGCCTTATATCAGCTTGTGATAGCGAAAATAGTCTTCCAATTTGACTGGGTTTCGCCAAATGGACAAACAGGAGACACCGTGGACATGTCTGAAACAGTCGGAATTGTCACGCACAGAAAGATTCCTCTCTTGGAGAGTGATGTTAATTAGTGTTGTTGTATGTATGCCTGCCTCCTGTTAGAAAATAAAATGATTATATTCATCTGTAATTTTTGAATTTGATATGGGAGAGAAAATTAAACCAGCTATCAACGTGGCTTGCTTTGGTGGGACATGTTTGGAACACTTGTCTTTACTGCGCATGGAAAGATGCCTCTCCTGGGAGTTATGCGTTGCCATGGTAACAGGTGACCGACCTGCACGTCAAGATCAAAATTTACAATTTTAACAGGGAGAACATCAATAAAGAAACATTGACCATGCTTAAATAGCTTTTAAATTTTTAAATTTTTAAAATTTCACTACAATTAATGATATTAATTTGATATTAAATTTATAAAAAAAATAATAAAATTGCTCTTCATTTAAGTCAACAAGTAAAATATGTCAGACAATAAATAAAATAAAGAAGTTTTGATATTAATTTAAAAGAGAGATTATTTTATTATTTCCTTCAAAAAGTTAATGGGAAATCAATACTCTTGAGTTATAGTAAAATTTCAAAAATTTAAATTTTTTTAATATAATTAAGTATAATCAAGGATTTTTTATTAAAATTTAGGGGCTTTAAATATAATTTTGAACCCCCTGTAATTATATGACCGAACAGCTTCCAGACGGGTGGACCAAAGTCAAAAAAAAAAAAAAAAGGGTGTCGGTGAATGAACCGCCACATCCTTGGAGCTGATATTAATGGAGTTCATCTCAAGCCTGCTTTGCGCTTGTGGTTTCTATTTCTGTTTACTTGTAATACCCTTATTTATTTATTTATTTTTTGTAAGAGTTCACTTGTAGTATTATTTTGATTCACGTGATAACCTTTTTGAGGCGACGTTATATCTTTATACTGCACTGAACTTCCACATCACAGACCTATCAATAATTCATTTTTCTGTTGTTTTGGCCTATCAACGTCCACTTCACCATCAATAATTGCGGATGACAAAAGAAGGTCCTGTAGCTATATATGGAGTTTTCCTTTTCTTTTAATTGGCAATCCATCTTTGATCATTTTGAATTTGGAATATGCGTATTTAATGTATCATTGGCCGGAACAAGAGTGTACATGAATATCACTCAATTTCTTTTCGCGCATCTCCTCTAAATTCTAAGGATTTTACATGATATCCCTGTTTTCTTGCTTAAAAAACATTGTAAATAAAACTTGTAATACAAACTACAACACATACAGTAATCACGGTATAATATAATTCCATTTCATTAAATAATCATAATTTTGAGAATTTTAATTTGTAAATATAAAGCATGTAAATTATAAATATAAATTGGCTTGCAACTAAAATTCTTGCAACGAATTAAATTGACATCGTAAATTATTTTTTTAAAAAAATGTTATCAAGCTAATTATCATTAATTTGATCTTTTAAGACTTTAAAGTTGCTAAGGAGATCAATCAATTTAAATTAAGTTTTAAATATTAAATTTTAAAAATCTATAATTTAATTTTTTAATTATTTACATAAATTTTAATTTATATTTTAAATTTTAAAATAAAAATAAATTTTTTATTCTTCAATCATGTTAAAATTTAAAAAATACATTACAAATTCATTACAATACAGTTATAAAATTAAAAATTTAAATTATAAATTTTTAAAGTTTGATATTTAAAATTTAATTTGAATTAATTAATTTTTTTAATACATCTTTATCATTCTTCCACGCGAAAAAAGTAACGAGTTTTTTGCTTTTCAAACTTAGGCTTGCCCTGTTGTTGTAAAAATAAAAAGAGTTTTGTCCAGTTAAGTCCCCTCTTCTCCCATCCTCATATGCCAACAAACCAGAGTAGTTTCTGTGGTCATCCTGAAATGAACACTGGCAAGTGGCGACTACAGTTAATAAAGGGATCCAAATGAGCAACAATCCCAAAAGAAGATACAGGGAAAATGTCAAGTTTTCTTGTTATGAGTTTCGTAGTGCCAGACGATGTTTCCTGGCTTTGGCATACATGGTTGCTCATTATCTTACCCATCTCCCTCACTGCGCTATTCAAATGGTATTCCAATCCTGCAATCAGCAAAACCTCACTCCCTTCTCCGCCAAAATTCCCAATCATAGGAAATCTCCATCAACTAGGCTTCTATCCTCATCGTACACTCCGATCTCTAGCTCAGAAGTATGGCCCCTTGATGCTTCTTCATTTTGGTAAGAAACCAGTACTCGTGGTCTCTTCTGCAGAGGCTGCTTGCGAGATCATGAGAACCCATGATCTCACATTTGCAAACAGGCCTAGAGGTAAAATGTTTGAGATACTATTATATGGCCAGAAGGATGTGGCAACAGCTCCGTATGGAGAATACTGGAGGCAGATAAAGAGCATATGTGTGTTGCATCTTCTCAGTAACAGAAAGGTTGAAGCTCTTCGTGGTGTGAGAGAGGAAGAAGCTGACATCATGATGGAAAAGATCAGGCATGCTTCTTCCGCAAACAAGCCGGTGAATTTGAGCGAGTTATTTTCCAAAATTACAAACGATGTGATTTGCAGGGTGGCTTTGGGGAAGAAATATGGAGAGGGAAGTGAGGACAGGAATTTTAAGGAGATTCTTGTGAAGTTGACAGAGCTATTGGGTGCTTTTGTGGTAGGGGACTATATACCTTGGCTTGATTGGCTTGGTGATGTTAGTGGCTTATATGCAAGAGCACGTACAATGGCTAAAGACTTGGATCGATTTTTGGAGGAAGTAGTTGAAGAGCACATGAATCGTCCAAAAGAAGCCATTGATACCATAAAACGTGATGATGATTTTGTGGACGTTTTGCTTTCTATTCAAAGGAGTAACTCTATTGGCTTTCCTATTGACAGAAGTGCCATAAAAGCTTTGATCTTGGTAAGAATCCTCCTAACTTGATCTTGGTTATAATTATCAAGAAACACCTCATCGGTAAATAGGCACGATGATTCTGGCTAACTTGTATTATATTTCTTCTTTAAATTTTGGTCTAGAATGATAAGTTCAATCATTATTGTTTGGCAGGGATTAAGAGAAGTATTCTGTCCAATTATGTATCAACTTGTATTTCAATGATGATCATAGACAATCGCACCATATCAGTTTTACTTCACACGTACCTAAAACATACATTATTGTTAACCACTTTTAGCTGGAGGTATAGTGTCATTGGAATAAGACTCTTTTACACGAACTATATTCTAAACATTAGGTCTTGCGACATGTTTGTGTGTGTGTGTATCTTTTTACAAATCACTCTCTTATTCATAACTTACAAAATTCAAATTTTATTAATCTTGTTAATCTCATTCTTTAGACTCAATATTATTGGTAAATATCATTGTACAGGACATGTTTGTTGCGGGCACAGACACCACGTCAACAGTTCTAGAATGGGCAATGACAGAATTGTTTAGGCATCCAAATGTTATGAAGAAACTGCAAGACGAAGTCAGAAATGTGGATAGAGATGGATCACACATAACAGAGAAGGATATAGACCAGATGCCCTATGTTAAGGCAGTTTTGAAAGAAACACTTCGCTTGCATCTCCCAGTACCTCTACTAGCCCCTCGAGAAAGCATGCAAGATATGAAAGTTCAGGGCCATGACATTGGAGCTGGAACACTAGTAATAGTGAATGCTTGGAAAATAGCAAGAGATGGCATGTATTGGGAGGATCCTGAAGAGTTTAAACCAGAAAGGTTCTTGGATAGTTCTGTGGATTATAAAGGACATGATTTCCAGTTCACCCCATTCGGAGCGGGAAGAAGGGGTTGTCCTGGAGCACAATTTGCAAGAGCCTTGGATGAACTTGTGCTAGCAAACATGGTCTTTCATTTTGATTGGGCTTTGCCTAATGGAGAGACAGGGGAAGCCTTGGACATGTCTGAAACAGCTGGCCTTGTCATACATAGAAAGATACCTCTTGTGGCAGTTGCATCACCCTGCAACTAATAAACCCATAGTTTTATACCAAGTGAACCAAGCAACCAACCTTCCCTCCTTTCAACTTTTTTTATTTAACGTTGTACTTGCCTCCTGTTAGGAAATGAAATTCATATATATAGTATATGGTAATAAAATATAGCTTTGTGGGCAAGACATGATGATATAAATAATGGTTTGATGGTGAATTACCAATTATAAACTGATTATGCGTTCTTATAGCAAATCGACCCGGTTTGTCTGATAAACCAAATAATATGCACAGGTATATGTCAGGGCTAAATCAGTGTGTGTTTACGGAAAAAGAGGTATCACAAAAAGATTACAGGATTTGAAAACACTATCTTCCCCTACCTACTTTAAAGTCACCAGTGAAGCTATAGGCAGGGTACAAATTTTTCATTGATCTTCAAATTAAGGAATACAAGATAACCATCAACAATCTTGCAATCAAATCAGTAGTAAGTTATTCCTAGAAGAACGAAACATCAAATTGCAAATTTAATTTGCAATCATTGTATGCATGTATACTATTTTATATTCAAGTACAAATCTCGTAATATGTGCTAGATTCGCTGATTCTCCTTGTAACATCATGCAAAAAAAAAAAAAAAAAAATTTCTCCTTGTCGTGCACATCATTTGGCGGGTTCAAAAAGAAATGACCAACAGCGAGTTTGAAACCTGGAATAATGCAAAATAATGCTTGCTACGGGTCTTCTACCGAAACCACCAAGTGATGGAGAATCATTTTCATGGATTGTTTCCCTGAAACAGAGGAATGAGGGCAAAGCAATGCTCAATGGGCGGCAGCAAGTCTGAGAGAAGGGAGGGAGAGGCACATGTTCATGAGCGCAGAGGAAGAGAGAATATCAAGAAAGGGGCTCTTGGAAGATCAAGAGGGTCGAGCCGGAAATGGCTTTGCAGGGTTTTGGTTTGAGACTATCAGGACCTATCAAAGATATATATAATGACATTTTTTTGCCAATACAAATACAATAATCCCTTTCATGAATTGTTTCCCCGAAATTATAATCATTATTGTTTCAATTCTATCAATGACTTTTTTGAGCAAACTAATAAAATATGTAATGGATATACTGATTATTACCATCGATGTGTTGAGAACTGTTGGGTTTGCTGTGTTCATCCTTGATTTGAGGTTTTAATCATTTAGATTTAATTTGGATTTTGAACAATATATTTAAAGCTTATTTAACTTTTTAAAGTAAAAACTCCTTTTTGTAAAAAGTCCAATTTACAATTAGGTGCGCAACTTGCCAACAACAAAATATAAGGGTCAAGTAAGAATTGAACCAACCAATTTTAATTTGCTCTTCTACAAAGAATTGCCCAACAATCGCCAGCATTTGCAACCAGTGTCAATGAACTTTCATTGCAAAGCCAGAATCTGCTTCCTCCTTTGACATCAAATGAAATCTTCAAGTTTTAAAAACAATTATACCACTTTACCCATTGATAAAGAGAACAAACTCAGTGCTATCCTCCTCCAACTCGAATATGAAATCAAGTACATAATACCATGACTTTGAGCAATAAGAACATTTGCCAGAGACTACAAAGAGAGACTATCTATTAACTTGATTATTCACAAGATTTTCAAGAAAGTAGCTCCACAGCAGCAACTAAAGAACCCGAGTATCCAGCTAAACTAAAATGCCTGCGACTACAAACAGTGTTGCGGAAGCAGAACAAGTGTTGAAACCCATAATGGCTGAATGGCCTTTCTTTTTTCTGTTTTTTTCTTCCTTGCTTTCAACAATACCGTTACCATCTCCGATTGTATAGCTGAATGACTTGCTTCGATTTTGCTTGACGACATACCACCAATATTGCTTTCATGTTCCATCACAGCAATATTTCATTGGACTGTACACGTAATCCCAGCACAGAGAAATGGAGTACCACTGTCAAGGGGAAAGTTCTCAAGGAATTCATTAGCAAGTGCTCTTGACGATAAGCTTGAACAAAAGTTCTAGACAAAATACCACCACCCATCACAATCAGATTTGCAAAAAATCTTTGCAGCCATGGCAAAAGAATTAATCAAACAAACTTCGACACCAAGGCTCTCAAATTCTCCTCGGTGAATTGGGGATTTCTTTGATATCAGCAAGTTGTCCTTACCTGCATAGAAGACCTCAAAAGCAAAATAGGGAGAGGCGCCACCTTGGATACATGAAGTTAATTCTTAGAGACATCTGGAATAGCATCCTCCGGTTGCCGCTTCAGCAGGCCGTCGCTCCTGCCCTTTGTGGCTACGACGACACCAATGCCCCTGCTTCATTCTCCAGCTACACCGGTTTTCATATCGTGTGTCCTTGATGTCTTCATGGCTTTGCTCAAGATCCTGATATCAGGATGCATATGCTTCAACACCTTGATGATGTAAATCTTGCAAAACCAGCAACCCAGGAATAGTCGCAATCCTCCCCCTTTGTCGTTACGGATTATGTGGGTTATGTGGGTCAACCTGATGAAATTCCGAGATCCATAGTCTTGGAATCAGACTAGCATTTTGATTAGGTTTCATTCGTTTCACCCCTTCTTCTGGCTGTTGTCAGCTTCATCTCTTCAAGGTAATCCCATTCGTCTTTTCTTTGAACGGCTGCCACGGGCTTCATATCCTCAAGATCGTCTCTCTCTCTCTTCCTGATCATCATCGTCCTTTTTTCTGGTAGATCGGGTCACCGTCTTTGCTCGTCTCTGTCGCTATTTGATTCTTTCCTCTGCACCCATTTGCTCCAATTTTTCATACTTCACTATCGAGTTCTTGCGGCCGCTGGTGGTTGCGTTCTTGGCATCACGATTCAGTGAACACAAGAAAACGCACCGTCTCAATTCTCGTACAGGAACGTCCGAGAATTGTCGGTGGATTAAGCAAGAAACGCAGCGTACTGGAATGATTTCTGTTAAACTAAATTCTTGACTCTCGGGGATCAGCTTCTTGTTGATGCGGTCTGCTTCCTTCAATTCGGTCACCGGCTTGAAACGCAGAACCCAAAACACATACTCTGGCCCAATGGATGAACCAGGCTCATGATACGATGATGAGAAAATGATTAAAAAAAATATTTCATTAATCAACTCAAATAATATGATTACAAATAATACAAATTTTCTTCACTTGAAGGTTTACACATCAATCAACCAACTTGAATGATGAATAAACTCCGTTTTAATTAGCCTCACAAGATTAAACTCCTGGACACAACAAAAATGATATGACTCCTTTATATAAATTTAGGGACGGCAACTAACTATATAATTATATGCTGATCATTCCGAATATTGCGGCAAGAACAATCAACAAATATTTGAGATTCTTGAATAGTTTTGGAGATTTTTGGGTGGAATCAAACAGCTAGCGAGGGAAGACTGTAGTTTTGTATTTTTTTTTTTTACATTTTTTAGAAAACTTAAAAATTGTGCCTTTTAATTTATTTTTTTAAAATGGCAAAAAATACAAAATTTTAGTTAAAATATCTTTCATACATGATGAACGGGAAGAAGAACTGGCCACAAAAAAGAAGAAGAACGAGAAAAAGAAGATAACAACTGAAAGACGGGATTAAAAGAAGCGTTTGACGTGTGACCTATCCCAGGCCAGAGGATAATTCTTGTGACTGAACCTCAGTCGGTCAGTCTTCAATCCGTGTCGTCGCCACATGGAGCAAATTCTGACGTTCCATGATCTTTGAATCTTAGTGAGATGCATGCATGCGTTATATTTAAATGGAGTCCTTGAACGCTGGCCTTTCATTTTTAATCCTATGAAGCAGTAACCCCGATTCTTAATGCGCTGTGGCTTTCTGCAATTTTCAGCCATCGACAGCCGTCTTCTCTCCTTTACGCTCGTGTTTCCTCCTTCAACGCACTCTTTCGAAAATGGTTTCTTTCTTCAATTATTCCGTATCTTCGCTTCCCTATAATTCTGTTTCTGTCCCTTTGATTCCACTTTGTGTCTTCACTTATATCAATATATCATATATCATATCAACACGTAGAGTAAGGTATCAACATTCATGTCACCAGTTTTGGCTCTTAGCTTACAGAGATATAATGATTTTATGTTGATAGTTGAAACTAGGTAATAGAGTGTGTGCGTGGTTTTTTTTTTTTTTAATATTTACTTTTATGTTAGCAGTTACAATTTTTATGAATTTCTTAAAAAAATTTATATTAAAGTCTATCATGTAACGTTCAGCTGGTATTTTATTGGTATTCTTGCCGTTTTAATCGTTAACGACGTATAAAAGGGGATAAAGTTTGCGAACTCATATGGGCTAATGCATCAAACTTTCCTACTAACCAGATATATGCTTTGGGGTTTATATCTGTTAAAATGGTACTAAAAGGATATTTGCAACATCATCGAAAGATACTCTCTTATCTGATTGGGCTTTCATTGATTTAAATATAATTGTCTCTCTTGAAGGATATGATGCTTTCGTGATATCAAAGAGAAAGAAGTAATTTAGACGTTTGTGTTTCCTAGCTACCTCGATGGTCCTATATAATTTTGGTTTTTATTTTTATTTTATTTTATTTTATTTTTTGAAGTTGCATGTTGCTTGCTTTAGAATGTTGATGGTAAACCATATACCATTAATGACTTATTAGCTCGTGACTGATGGAACAGCATGGTTAAAAGCGGGTGCTTTAGGTAAGGTGGCAAGGGCTGGTCAACTTCCTGGTACGAATATTAGAGAAAAATTTTGTTGTATCGAACTTGACAGCGAAGGTGCGTTCTGCTCTCTTACAACAAGAACGTCTAGTCTGTAGTCTGTAATATTTGAATCTTTTTGTGGGTATACAATACACATACATGGATGAGGAAAAGGGGAAAATTCTTAACATATGTAGGTTCTGGTTTGATGCTTGCTGGATTGTGGAGTGGTTCGTGCAAAAAAGCCCAATGCAGGGGATGGTATGAGTGGAACGCATCCATCTAACAAACGGCTAAGATTGACTTGATTTAACAAACACAAACTACACCAGAGAGAGAGAGAGAGAGAGAGAGAGAGATGTCAAGTTTTCTGACTAGTTTTGTAGTGCAGGACGACAACACCTTGTTGTGGCATACATGGTTGTTCATTGTCTTGCCCATCTTCCTTGTCCTACTATTCAAATGGTATTCCAATTCTGCAATC